CGTGATCGTGATCGATTACGGCGGTGTATGTATGCTAGTGAGGTAAGTGCTGTAAATGCTGTCGAAACCAAAGTCTTCGTAATCAAGGAATTTTTGTAGATTCCAGAATCTTCTCTTGCCGTCGGCAGGTTCATCATGATCTAAGGATCGTGATCCTCGATATTCCGGAGTTCCATTGGGGCTGGAGGGTACATGTATACACTCATTTTTTTTTTTTTTTCATGTCACCCTTCCTAAATTGTTAAATTAAATTATTTTTTGTAGGGCCCTCTATTTTTTCTCACACGGCATTGTGATCTCCAGGGCCACGATCATGATCTTTTTGGAAAGAATCCATTTTCCATAATAAAGAGGAAATCGAATGTTCTCTTGAATGATAACTACTACCAGATTTACGTACGGGAGAAGCCAAAGAAATTCCACTATCCCGATGTTCAGGCACATTCTTACAGACAAAATTCTCATATCCTTCATTGTGGGGTGAAGATGATGAAGTACGTGATATTACAGGTAAAGTAGTAATTGGACTTCCAGGCACAGACAATGTATAAAGAGGACTATATGGATAATTATTTTTAATACTATTGTTTATAGATAGGCGAGGGTTGGCTTGTTGAGCTGACATTGTATTAATGGTGTCAGTGCTGTTCGCTTTATTGTGAGTTGGAACAAAAATGCCTTTGGGAGGTGGTTTCAGCTTCTTTGATAAGATTTTTGAACGCGCTGTTGATCGTGTAGATGATGGTGGTATTGATGGTTCCACTTGTAATGACTGAAAATCTCTTTTTTTGTGGTTTTGGAGCTAACGCAGATATACCAACATCTTCAGTTGATGATAAATCAATCTTATCTATAGTATTTGATGAATTTGATAATTGTAAATTATGTTCACTTGTCATTTCTATAATTTCTGGTATAACAGCAGGTGTGTTTTCAGGCAGGGTCGCATTGAATCTTTCTTGTGCTTCTCTATTTTCTCTGCGTGAATAAGCCTCAAAAGCAACGAGTTGTTTTTGTAGATCCATGTTTTTGGCATTGGTCACATGATCGGATGTAATCTTTAATATTTTCGAACATCTGTGGCCAATAGTATTGATCACGAATTTTTTCAAAGGTTTTGTCAATTCTCAAGTGTGCATCAGTTGGGTGATTATGCATCAAATAAAGTATTGCTTTGATTTCATGTTTTTGGATTACTTTGAGTAGTTGGTTTTGAGTTTTTCTTCTTCTGTCTTTCTTGTAAAGTTGATTGTTTTTGACTTCGAAAAATTTGCTTTGTGATTGTAAACATTT